TAAATTTCAGGATTCAGTCATTAATGCAGAACAGCGAAATAGATTGATAGGTGGAAACAAAAACATTGAAGTAGAACCAGGTATGCAAACAGCAAGGGGGATATTTAGAAACCAAAAACAAAACACACTAATCAGCATTCAGCTGTGCCGCCAGTGAATAATGCCCTAAAAATCTACAAGCAGACTCTGCTGGGCATGACAAACATGTTGCACCTGCAGTGGAGATTTTTCTTTTTTTTCCCCCTAAGCTGAAACAACTCATTACCTGTTAGAAGAACTGGAGAAAACCACTGGAGACATTCTACTAGTGTTCACTTATTGTCTGTGTTTAATGCACAGATTAAGACTAATTTTACTTTTAATTAAAATTCTTAACTAGCTTAACAAATACTGCAGCATATATAAGATTCACGCTTGGGGGCCATAACTGTCAATTGCAATGAGGTTAATAGAGCCTAGAGTAAACAAACTGACATTTGAGGCTAAAGGAACTGAAGTTTTTAAAAATTAAACAACTGTTAATATCAGGTCAAAATAACGTGAGCAAATAAAATGGATGTTACTAAACGTGATGATTTCATTAATCAAGGGAAAAGACTTTCCAAGAGAACCAGGCTCAATTTGATGAGGCAATCTCCACCCCTGTTAAATTATGAATTAGCCAAGAAGCTGCTTCTACTGCCAAACCTGATTTATGTAGAATATATATATATATATATATATATATATATATATATATATATATATATATATATATATATATATATATATATTACGGTGGCCTGGAAGTGCAAACCAACAATACAAAATCTGAAACACTTTTACAAATCTTGAAACAAATTTACATTTCAGAAAACAAATTTACAACAAACGAAACACTTTTACAAATCTCGAAACAAATTTACAAATCTTGAAACAAATTTACATTTCAGAAAACAAATTTACAACAAACGAAACACTTTTACAAATCTCGAAACAAATTTACAAATCTTGAAACAAATTTACATTTCAGAAAACAAATTTACAACAAACGAAACACTTTTACAAATCTCGAAACAAATTTACATTTCAGAAAACAAATTTACAAACGAAACACTTTTACAAATCTCGAAACAAATTTACATTTCAGAAAACAAATTTACAACAAACGAAACACTTTTACAAATCATAAAACAAATTTACATTTCAGAAAACAAATTTACAACTGACAAAATCTTACGGAAAGGGAGGGACTGTCTTCGAAGCTTACCCGGAAGTGATAACCGGAGCGTTCATGATGACCCAAGATGGAAGCGAATTGAGTTGCGTTTTGCCCGTTCTGCGGCACTCATGTGAGCAGTTTAACGCGGTTTTGTTTTTCCTGCGGTCGGTCCTTGGAGTTTTTAAATGGTACCGAACAGACGGAATAACCGGTCTTGTGCGAAATTCTGTTTCCCCGTGAAAATCTGTTTCCCCTGTGTCGGGAGCGCGCGTTGCAGCCAGAGAGGCGGATCTGCCCATTCTCAAGGCGCTCCTGATCATTTTTCAGGAAAAACAGCTCATATAATCATCTCAACTTTGTAACATCCATTTTATTCGGTTGCTCTTTTTAAAAAATTGTAAAATAAATACATTAATGAGGCCCTCTTACACTGTTTTGTGTTGTTTTTTAAACGCCAAGAGAATCGGTATTTCTCCAACTTTTGTCCCTTCAGCCTGACAAAAATAAACGTCAGTCACCGAACACAACAACACGTAGTGTATTTTTAATTTTTCATTGCTGATATAAGAGGATGGAAACTGGCTGATAGCAGGGCACACAGATTAAGATGTCCTGCGAAGATGAGAAGAATTTCTGGTTAATCACCTTCTAATGTAAAATATGACAGATTACTGGATTAAGGACATTTATAGTATACCACATCACACATATCAATTTTAGAGAAATTGGAAACAGTTGCTCTTTTTTTCCCAAAGATATGGGAGGAGGAGAGGAGAGAATGGATGTTTCAGCTGCCTGAAATAATCTGTTCCCCCTCCATAAAAGGGGAAGAAATTGATTTACCTGCAAGTCTTTAACTGTGCTTATTCCTCTCACCACCGAGAACAAATCCTGTGGATTTTGTCATATTTACTCTTTATTTTTAAAAATTAAAGGGGGGGAACAGATTATTTCAGCTGTTTGAGCTGCCTGATATAATCCATTCTCCCAATAACATGGGGAAAAGTTGACAGATGTTACAAAGTTGACAGTTGGATGTTACAAAGTTGAGATGATTATATGAGCTGTTTTTCCTGAAAAATGATCAGGAGCGCCTTGAGAATGGGCAGATCCGCCTCTCTGGCTGCAACGCGCGCTCCCGACACAGGGGGAACAGATTTTCACGGGGAAGCAGAATTTCGCACAAGACCGGTTCTTCCGTCTGTTCGGTACCATTTAAAAACTCCAAGGACCGACCGCAGGAAAAACAAAACCGCGTTAAACTGCTCACATGAGTGCCGCAGAACGGGCAAAACGCAACTCAATTCGCTTCCATCTTGGGTCATCATGAACGCTCCGGTTATCACTTCCGGGTAAGCTTCGAAGACAGTCCCTCCCTTTCCGTAAGATTTTGTCAGTTGTAAATTTGTTTTCTGAAATGTAAATTTGTTTTATGATTTGTAAAAGTGTTTCGTTTGTTGTAAATTTGTTTTCTGAAATGTAAATTTGTTTTATGATTTGTAAAAGTGTTTCGTTTGTTGTAAATTTGTTTTCTGAAATGTAAATTTGTTTCGAGATTTGTAAAAGTGTTTCGTTTGTTGTAAATTTGTTTTCTGAAATGTAAATTTGTTTCAAGATTTGTAAAAGTGTTTCAGATTTTGTATTGTTAGTTTGCACTTCCAGGCCACCGTAATATATATATATATATATATATATATATATACACATTTAAAAAAAACTGATTAATTAATTGAAAATCCTCAAATCTGAAAATATAAAACCAAATGCAAGAGGGGAATCAAAGTTAATGGCGGTCGGAAAAAGCAACAACACCAATTTACAGTAAGGTTCCTGGACTTCAGTGTTTGAGATTGATTTTGGATTAACTAAGTATTTTTGAACATATTAATTGTGAATTTAATCAGCATTGATCGATGTTTATCTTTCCAGAATAAGAAAGAGACTGATAGACATTTTTAACGACACAGTCAGTCTAGAACACAATATACGATAGTGGTAGAATGATGATGGTGGCTGTTTTGCTTCTTTAGGACCTGGGCAACCAGCCCATAAAATTAGGAATCATGCACTCTATATCAAAGCAGAATGTGAGAAAATCAGTTATCAGTTTATAACCATAACCACAGCTAAAAGAGGCTCTAGATCTGGACAATAATCCAATCCTGTCGCAAAGGCCATGAAAACTAGAGAGGCTGATGCTGATAATTTTGCTGATAGTGCTTATTGTTTCTTTATTTACATGTTAGAAATGTCAATGGTAACCATTGTTGTGCAGATCTTGATTCAAACAAAAAGAAAACTTAATATACATTATTATACAATAATAAGTCAAAACAATATAGCTGCTGAATGCATCGGCCCATTATGAAAAAAAGAAAAATTTAGCCAAAAACATCATCTGGCCGATGTATCGGTCTATCTCTAGTAGAAACCAGTTATTAAGTCTGCTGTGTATCTTGACTTAGGCCCAAGTAATCTAAATGGCACTTACCAAATAAACATCATGAATACAAAAGTGAATTTTCAATGCATTCTGCTAACATTTTTTGATCTGTAATGCTTCCCAGTAGGGCTGGGCGATAATTCAATAACGATATATATTAATCGATAGACGTGTGGCGCAATAGAAAAAAAAGAGAGTCGATAAAAGTTCGATAAAAAAACGCAGTTTTCCTTCCTTCTCATTGTAGCTTATCATGTAGGTTTATGCTAGTCACTACTTCCTCCCAACCAATCGCAATCGCGGACCCAGGCACACCGTGGGTGGGTGTCCATTTATTTAGTTGTTATATTTATTTTGGTCACTTTTCTGGTCACTTTAGTTTATTGTTTGTAAGTATTTAATAACATAACTCAGGTCTCTTAAGTTATTTTTATTTAAAACAATTCTGTTATGGTTAAAAAAGTTGCTTAAATAAAGATTTAATTCAAATTCTGTGTTTGTGTTCTTTATTAAAATTAAATCATTTAGTAACATCATAAAATGTCCAGGCAGAGCTGCACATAAAATATGGTTTCAAATCTTTTCAATAATTATCGATATCGATCAATATGCATTTTTTTTTATCGATAAGCTTTTTTTCTATATCGCCCAGCCCTACTTCCCAGTGATAACGGAAGCGACCCTTCCTCAGAGCACCTGTGGCTTAAGAAGGAGGCAAACCCGTAAAAAGTTTAACAGAAACAACACCACCACCTGGACACCTATATGCATATTTTGACAGAGTCAGCGAATGAAAATCAGTAGAACCAGGACACTTTTAGTGAGCTAAAGTTATGAATTATTTTTAGAAAAGATCCCGCTCCACTAGCCAGGCCTAAACACACTTGTACATCGAGACTTTTCTTTAAAATTTCAGGAAGCAGCCCCCCCACCCCAAAAAAAAAAAACGCCCAAAAACATTCCTATTTGTACTAAAGGTAAATTATTTAACCTTATCCATGCTTATCCATCCACATTTTCTTAAACCCCATCATATTTTTGCCTAATGTACTGCTTTACTTTTATATGACAATTACTTTGACCTGAAAGGTTTCTAAACACAGGATGATTCCATTCCCTGCATAAATAACCATTAGCCTATGTAAAGATGACTAACGCAGTTTGTCAAATTTGTTAATAAAATAGTCATTGCATAAATTTATAGTTTGTTCTTTCAAAGTTGTTTTAAAACCGTAGAAGTCTGCTATGCATGCTGTCCCCTTTAAGAGAAGCCTTTGCTTTGATTTTCTGAAACCCAACTAAGCTGGATTTCTACTAAATGAAGATCTACTGCAGGTAAGATATTGCAGGACTGACCTGGCCCAGGGCTGATCTGGTTGTCATAGAGGTGGATGTCTTCTCCACAGGCGATCGGTAAGTCCTGTCCTTCCTCTCGGCACTCGCTGCCCTCCTCTTGCTCCACCTCCCGCTGCTCTGGGGACGCAACAGCACAGGATTTCTGGTTACCAAGCCAGGCTTCTATCACACTGACATTTTGGTTCTTATTACCAGAAAAACAGGCAAATACAACAAAACATTCCAACAAACTACAGATATCATTATAAAAAAAACAAAAAACTTTAAAGGTTGTTATAGTCTACATTTGAAAATGTTTCTTTTGCTCTGAGACTGGAATTAAAGATCCTGCTGTTACCTGCTGTCCCTGTTCTCCAGTAACATTTTTTGTTCAATAGCTTCTCTTCAAGTTCTCCTCACATAAAAATACTAGCAGCCAGTTTTCTCATATATATTATTTTTCCAAAATAATATTTTTTATGCATTTCATATTTTGTTGTAATTTTTTTCAATACACATTATATATTTTTAAAGTTAAGTGTTTTCAGCGGCGTAGGAAGCGGGGGGGACGGGGGGGACATGTCCCCCCCAATATAAAAGCCAGGTGGATATGTCCCCCCCAAAAATTGTACCGCAAAATATTAGATTTTGACAATTTTTTAACTATCGTGCTTTTATTTTGAAGGCGCAGCATAGCGTTACGTCACTGTACTCCCCCTCCCCTCTGTGAACTGTTGAGTGTTTGAGCACTCAGAGGGAAACAGCCATACAGAAAGTCAGAAACTTGTTAATGAGGTAAAATGGTCTGTCGGGAATGCTGCTATGAATATTGCTTATTTATAACGTCTTGTTGTCAGTTCACTTTCATATATAGAAACTGAATCTTTTTGGTTTAGGCATCTTAGTCTTGTAGGAAGAGGATTAGGGCCACTGAAAAACGTTAACTGATTTTTAAATGTTTTTTTAGTTTAACATTGGGGGAAAAGTCAGAATTCTGACTTTTCTCAGAATTCTGACTTTTTTTTCTGACTTTTTTTCCCAGATTTCTGACTTTAATCTCAGAATTCTGACTTTTTTTCTGACTTTTTTTCCCAGATTTTTGACTTTAATCTCAGAATTCTGACTTTTTTTTCTGACTTTTTTTCCCAGATTTCTGACTTTAATCTCAGAATTCTGACTTTTTTCTCAGAAATCTGAGAGATGATTAATATTTCTAATCAGTTTACAGTTTTTTTTGGTGGGGGGAGGGGGGACTATACAGATATATAAAAACAAGAAGGTCTACCTAAAAAATAACCAGAATATATGTTTAGAGTAAAGATTGACTACTTGTGTTTACACAAGCACACAATTTCAAATCTGCTGAGCTTGCTGTGGAAGAAAATGTAAAATATACGTATAAAGAAATATAACAGGAAGTACTGCTAAAACATAAACTAAATGTTAAATAATGTAGATATTGGTTTAAAAAATTCTTCAGATTTGGAAATTTGGAAGGAATACATAATTTTGAAATTAATCCACAAATCTGGTAAAAAATAAATAAATAAAAAATAAAAGTTGCACTTTTTTACTTGAGGAATTTGTTGAATAACTTCATAATTATGAGTTTAACTAGTTGGAGGTAATGCTACACTTCTCTGCTTCCTGTCCTGCTCATAAAAGGTAAACATTATAAACCCACCATTAATTTTCTACACTATTTGGAAAACACAACACAAATGTAATATAACAAAAGTATGTTTAACAACAAACATGTTAGCATCAAGCCATAGCCATGTCTATTTTAGAGACTAGCTCTCTTGTTTTAATGACCTTCTGCTCCTCCATTAATGAGGGGACCCCTCAGGCACGTAAAAAGTTGCCTAATTCTGTAATTTTCCACCAATGTGTCACTGGCCATCTCAAACAACTCACATCTTTGTCAGTGAAGCTGAGAGCTCCACATCTCTGCCTTCATGGTGCCTATCTACATTAAGATCCAAAATTCTGAGAAAAAAAGTCTGAATTCTGAAAATAAAAGTCAGAATTCTGAGATTAAAGTCAGAATTCTGAGAAAAAAAGTCTTAATTCTGAAAATAAAAGTCAGAATTCTGACTTTTTTCCCGTATTAAACTGAAATAAAATGTAAAAATCACTTAACTTTTTTTTTTTTCCAGTGGCCCTAATCCTCTTCCGTAGTCTTGGTGTGATCACTCATCCAATATTTAACTGCTAACTTTCTCTAGACGTTTGCCACATTAGCCAAAATGTTTTTTTTTATATATTTTTTTTAATATCTCATTTCAGTACATTGCCACCACCAACTAAAAGGCTGAAAGGCTGTCACCTAACACAACTTGTGTTGAAATTAGCCTGGTCTGGGCGTGCGTTTTACGAGGATTTTTTATTTTTTGCATGGTTTTGATTCGCCGAAATGGACAGATGTTATACCTGCCGCGCTCCTGATCGTTAGTTAACCACAGGGAGAATTAATTTTAATTCTTAGCAGCGGCGGTCGCATTGGTTGTGCAACCACTAATTAACCAACTAATTAACTTCTGCACCTTTATTTCCTCAAATAAACTGCTGGCTCCTCTTTTTAGACTATAAACAGATTAACACAACATTGACAACTCTGTAGTTTTCTCTGTTCTGTACTGCAAATTGGAATTAAAGACGCCATTTCTACCAAAGGTCGGGACACGCTGGCGCACCAGCACCTCCTGACCCCACTAAGGGACAGGGTGTACAGAAAATGGAAGGATGGATGGATTTCTACCAAAGGTTGATAATGCGTTTTTGAACCAGATGCTTCAAAGCGCCCTGTCCATAATTCTTCAACACACTGTCAGCTCCCTCTGTCAGTCAACCTATATAAATTCATTTTTGACCATTATTGCAGGTTTGACAAAATAAAACATATCAAACTTTGCACTTGTGTGGCCTACTGAATTGTTTTGATTTTCTAGTGCGTATGCGGACACTAAATATGCCAAGGGCTGAAGCCCTTGAAAGACATCTCCCTTTGCTTAATAAAAGACTCCAGTCATTTTGTTTGGTGATATGCTCACATCTTATGAACAATTGCATTATGTACATTTTAAATGCATTATTTTTGCAAACACATTTATAAAGGAATAAAGTAAAAGATTAAATAGCCTTTTTTTAAAGTAGCGTACTTAAGATATGTTTCTGTTGAATATTTACGAATCTCAGATTTCCGACATGTGTCCCCCCCAATTGTAAACATATTCCTACGCCCTTGAGTGTTTTAAAGATTGTTTCCGATTTTATATTTTCTGTTTTTTAGATTAAGTTTTATGAATTTAATTCTTTTCAAATTAAATGTTCCCGATCACATTCTTCTCACTGCTGAGGATGGGCTTTCATCTTGATTGGAGAGGAAAGACTAATTTCAATTGCTCTGCGTGGATGTTAGCAGCCTTCTTATTGGTCATTGCAAGCATCAGGAGTGAGTGTTAGTACTGGGTTTGAAGTGGAGAAAATGTGATCTGTGAAATGCAACTTGAAAATAATGCAATTTGTAAAACACAATCTGAGAAACTAATTTAAAAAAAATAATAAAATATAAATTCTGGGGGGGGGGGGTGGAAATAGAGTAAGGAAAATATGAAGAAGGCATTTAATTTTTTTTATCAAAGTATATTCTGAAAGAAAACAGCAAAGCCACTCTTATGTAATTTGTCCTTTAACCCTCGAGATGTTCTTCAGGTTATAGAAGGCTGAATTGCTTACTGACTTTTTGAGCCTGATGGTTCAGGTCTGAGTCCATCACTACACCAAGATTTAGAGCCTGATTAGGTCTAGATTTCTCTGGCATTTTGTCCTCTCTGTGTTTCTGAATTTAGAGCGAGGTTTGTTTTAAACTACACTTTCCTGCTTCACTAAAGATTCGAGTTTTTCTTATTATGAGCAAAATTTATCAAAGCACAGATGCTAAATGTAATTAACACCACAAAGGTTGTGATGACATATGTTTTGAGATTAAAATGCTAAATTACTTACTGCCAAGGACCAACACAAAACACAAAGAAAATGATTGGAGTTGAAGGGAAGATAAATTGAGCCAACTACAAGAGACTCAGGAGGAGGCTCCTCTCCCAACAGACAATAATTCTGAACATATGCCCAGACTTACAATTGGACGCTTCAGATCTGAGGTCTAAATTTTATTCCATTTGATGCAAAAGTACTTTATTAATCCCTGAGGGAAATTAAATATTGAGGCGACACATAGGGTTTTTTTAACCAGTTTTTGTAGCTGTAGGGAGAAAGGTTCTTCTATAGTGGTCTGTATAGCACAGGCTCTGAAGAAGCCTCTAAAAGAAGACAGTCTGTTGCTGTTTAACAATCTTATTCCTATTTGTTGTCCATGTTCTTCACTGAAGAATTCTTTTAGTGAAATCATTTGCAGAGAATCCAGAGGAGTTTCTTTTGCATTAGCTTGTTTAGATTCTTTAAGTATTTTTTTCTGATGCTGTCACCCCAGCAGATGATGCAATGATCTGTTGATCTGGATTTTTGGTTCTGTTCAAGTTTTCACTTTGGGTTTTCAATTAAACTTATATTTATGTCATTCTGTGTTCGATGACACTAAATGGAAATGGAACCAAGTTATTTTCTAGCTATATTTAAGTACGTTTGTATTTTGTGGTTACTCTCTTTTGTCCCCTAGCCCCCTCTCTAGATAATTGTGTCCACACATGCTCCCAATCAGCTGATTACTCGATTCATTGTTCTGTTTGGCATAAATACTCCTACTCTACAGTAATGTTTGCTGGATTCTCTTCATTCCCTCTTAAAGTTTTGTACCTTCTGTTTTGGTTCCTGTATCCCCTGGATATAGTTATTTTTCTATTTATGCTTGTGTTTCCACCAACCTCATCATTAAATCGGCAAGAAACCATTTCTCCCTTTGTCTCTGCATTTTGGTCCTCTACAAACCTCGCCCTCACTGACAGGTGATGCCAGAAGAGATCACACACAAACACACAACAGACTGAAGGAAGATATGCAGCATCTTGCTGCAAACACCAAAGAACTTAGGCTTCCTAAAGAAGTCCAGTCTGCTTTGCCACTTCGGCTTCACAGTTGCATCTCCAGTGGAGTTTGTTGAGAAAAACCGATCGTGCTCA